ATTCTTATTAATATATTATTATTACCTGTGATATATGTAAATATATACTGCAATAAAATACAAAATTAAAATTTGTATGTTCCAAATAATCAACTCCAATGAAACAAACGATTACAGCAATGAGAAAAAATATTCTTGGACGGATGATAATGCATTACATAAACATTATGCACGGTATCTTAGGAAATGAACAATTAAGCGTTATCCTGAACAATAATGGGAAAAAAACTTGGGTTACATAAATTGAGACCATGTATAATTCGGATCGTTTTCACTCGTCTTCTCGGAAATGAAGAAATAAATAGACTACTTAATGATCGAATTATATTGTTTTAGTCGTTTGTCAACTTTTCAGCACGTGAATATTTACCGGTATTTTATCCGTTCCTAATTAAAGTATGAACGTGACTTCAGTTGAACAACAGCAAAAAGTAATGATATTCGTGAAAGGATTTTCTTTTAAACCTTCATCAAAAAGTGGTTATTTACATTTAGCATAAATTTCCGTTTGAAAATGTTAAATGCAGATCCGAATCAGTAGAAATCAACACGTTGCGGTTGAGAAAACCTTCAATAGGTAGTGAAAATATTAGAGTTAACTGTATTGGTGAGTTCTCATTCAAACATTTACGGGTAAACATAGAAAATGTCCAGGGAAATCACCTTCAGATGATTGAATATTTTCCAGTTTTGTTGAGTCGAATTCAAACATCTTGACCCCACCCAGATGAAATGTTCATCAATTCTTACTTGTGGGTTTTCATTCAGCAAAAGAAGTGAGAAAGTTTTTAAACAATTACTGCTTTTCAATCAAACATTCATACATTTCGAGTATTTTCAGTGTTTCTCTGATGGAAACAAGGTCATGAAATCTTAGTTGTAGAGAATCTACACAACATACCGATCCTGGTAACAGAAAAAAAACTCCAGTGGTCTTTCTAATCTCAAATATGAACGAGATGACCATAACTATGTGAACAGCTCAGATGACTTTTTCATCGACAAGCAAAAAATCCAAGTGTCCCTACAACTGAACTACAATGTATAGTCTATTCTATACGAAGTCAATAAGAGACGAATGTACCGGGTCCGATAAATTTACTAGTTAATTACATGTTAAACCTCCCACATGAAAATAATGGTTAGACCTCGTAATTATTCCACGCCGCCCATGCCATACAACGAAACTGCCGACGTTCGGTAACTATTCAGTTTTTGTGTCATTCGAATTGACTTCGTATGTACTATACTTACACACAATAATCAACTGGTCAAGAAAATATAATAATAATATCCAATAAAATCGAATATTACAACAGTTTCTTGATATTAAATCATCCCTGAAAGTACACTTTGCACTAGTGTGTAGTGTAGTAGGGTTGATATCACTGGTCTACAGTGGTTTTGTTGCCCTAGATATAAGATTGATTTCGGGTGTATTTATACTCACAATTCATGAAATTATCAATGGTTTTGTAAGATTTGCTCTCGTTTTCTTTCAAATATTTATTTTCATTTTACATTACAAAAATTCGAAAACAAGAAACAAAATAATAGATATATTTATAATCTCAGTTTTATTTGGAAAAAATATGATACTTTGAAGTAAATAGAGAGGGAAATTTCGAAAACATGTTATATTTCCATAAAACGCCTTTTAAGAGATTTTCTTTTATAATTTTTCAGAGGACAATCTTTTTTCAAAGACCAGCAGTAATCGGCCATCATGTGACAATCCCATCGACCCTGATATCTTTCTTCCATTACTTTTAGATCCTGGTGGAACCGCTCTCCCTGCTCCTCACTATAATTTCCTAAATTATCTGGAAATTTATCCAAATGGTTGCGAAGATAGTGTAACTTGATACTCACATTTGTCCTAGAATCTGAAAGTTTGTCAGCATATTTTGTACAATTTCTTCATAATTTGGTGCTTTATGGTTACCTAGGAAATTTTTGACCACCAACACAAAACCATCCCAAGCTTTACTTTCCGGAACAATCATAACTTTAATAAAATCAGTGTCTTTCATCAATTGTCGTATTTGAGGACCATCAAATATTCCACCTTTCAACTTTTCCACACTAAGTTTTGGAAATTTTCTACAAATATATTTAAAACAATCTCCTTCCTTGTCCAAAGCTTTTACGAATTGCTTTATCATTCCTAACTTAATATACAATAGTGGAAGTATAATTATGTCTCCGCTCACCAACGGCTCTCTTATTACATTAGCTTTACCGACAGTTAAAGAATTTCTTGCAGGCCAAACATCTTGTTCCCAATGACGTTGCTTTGCTCTACTGTCCCACATACAAATGAAGCAAGGGTATTTCGTGTATCCACTTTGTTGACCAAGTAAAAAATTAAACATTTTCAAATCCACACATATCGACCATTGATGCTCCGAGTAATTGATTTTTTCTAAAACTAACTTGACATTTTCATATTCTTCTTTTAGTTTTGTAGAATGGGCAATTGGAATTGATGCAAATTTATTTCCATTATGCAGTAAGACGCATTTTAAACTCATTGTACAGCTATCAATAAAAAGACGCCACTCAGTAGGTTTGTATTCTTTCAAACCCATGTCCAGAAGCAGCTTCGCAATATTATTACAGTATACCAATCCTTCATTTTCATCAAAAAATTGTAATAGCTCACTTTCTCGCGTTCTGTACGTTGTAATTGTAACTGTCGGTGCCAATAAATTTTTTTCTTTCTATCTTGAAGCTAACAGTTCTGATCCTTGTTTTGATAAATTTAGATCACGTATTAAATCACTGAGTTCATTTTGAGAAAACAACTTTAGCGTAGATGTTTCACCCTCCCATTCACTTCCACTGGTAGACTGATTCGATTTCTATGAATTTGGCAACATCATTGTTTCTGAGGGCATGCGAATCACTTTTGAAACATAAATAGGCCAACTATATTTGCACTTCCTTCGTGACAAACTCATGTTTAAAAAGACAAGATAAATATATTAGAACGGACACTCAACAATTGAAACAAAATATTAACATATAACAACTTATCCAGATTCCCGTGTTAGTACTTCAATATTATCAAATAACAGAGTTCTCAGCTGTTTTGCAGAGCAAGGAGCCAGAGAAGTGGGGATCACGTGATGTTTGCACCCGCAAAGAAGTTGCGCAGAAGCCTAATCATGTTGAAAAAAATACGTAAAAATCATAAAAAATAGAGCACACTCCACTCACAACAAAATTTTCGGAAATTTTGACTTTCAGCAAATTTCTATCAATCTCCAGTACCAACCGAAAGACAATTGTTTAGGACTTCCATTCAGTATATTTAGAACTTAATAACAATTTTTATTTTCGATCATTGAGGTAAATTATGAATTATGATGTACCACTTAATGTAATGTAACAAATGGATCTCCAAATATACTACCACTCAAAATATTCAACAGTCCGAATGCAGATATGAAAAAAGCGCCTAATGTTCACATCTTCAAGAAAAAATCAAGTGATTCCTATGAAAAAGTTGTTTTTATTCCTCGTCCGATATCATCTCACTGACAACATTATAGTATGTAATGTATGTAATATGGATAATATGTACATTTTTTTTATATTCAAAGGAAATTGAGGTTTTCATTATTAGAAAGGATTTCAACAAGGTAATGTCGTTAAAAGTCATTTGCAATGTTCCAGCACACATAGATTTAATTGAGCAGTAAAGTAATTGGTAGAAAGATTCATTTTCTCCGCAAATCAGCATGTTCGATGATTATGGGCATTGCCGGCCTACGAATTGAAACGGTATGTAAGACTTTGGCAACATCGCGCATAGTTAGATGAATTCTTACACAACCGTTGACCCACTTCTCTCCTTGACTCGATCAGCAGAATTTGCAACATCAATGGTTGCGATTCACTGCTGGGTTGGTGGAAAAAGGTGTTGAGAACCGTATTTGATCACTGCAGATGAAAATGATATTGGCTTGAGAAAGGCATTGAAAATCGCTGGCTCACATAAACTACTTGAAGGTCACACTTTTTCTCTTTCTCTTGACCGTTTCCTTTTCCATGATAATTCTTCTTCAGCTGATTTCTCTCTTTACTACTTTTATATTTTTCCCCTAATGATAAGTTTCATCACAATATTGGTGAAACAATATCATATAAAGTTTTCTCTTATGATATGAAATATGACACAAAATAGGTACTTGCAATGTACTTGCATCTTTCTTTATATTCTCCGCAGCACACTAGAAAATATTAATTTTAAAGAACCAAGAAAGGTAAAGGTAAAAGATTTGAAAAACAACCCAATATTTTGACAAATATTAACACTGTTTCATTTCGAAAGTACATTATTTCTATTGAAGGGGTTATATTTTTAGGAGTGATTAATTTTTGGGAAGATTCTCTCATCCCCTTTTTTTGTATCAGATGGAGTAGTAGAAAGCCAAAAACTTTCTTTCCCAAAAAATACATTATTTCTATAATGAAAATCCATAATGCTTTGGTACACAAAAATCTCTCCTGAGCATTCAAGATTGAGTGAAGAAAACACGTGACATCTTTCCAACTAACAACGAAATGAATATAGTTTCAGACCATCTGCAAATTTCCTTCAATTCAGTGCCAACTGACAGACAGCTGTTTCCGTATTTGGGCCTCATAAGTACCGAGCTTGGCTGGACTTCGAGACAAACTACAGACTAGTCGTTATTTTATTCGTTGAATAATCATATGTTAGAGGCGACAAAAACATTAGTACTATCTAGTAGTCTAATTTGGGAGTTGAGTCAGTGAGCCATTCAGTGTCAATTGTGCACTAATAATTTTTGAAAAGGGGAACCTTCTGTTTTAGTTAATTTTGATATTTTAATTATTCAGAAATTCATAAACATACGAACAAATATAATTATAGTTTAGAACATCCATCTGAAAAATTTCACACTGACATTCATTATACATAATCCATTTTATGTTCAATATGTTGATTTCTGTTATGTTTGTTACAGGGTGATGATCATACATATAAGGGCGACCATAGTGGTCGCCTTACTGGCCATATTTAGAGGAGTCTTTGCTCAGGTGAGTGTAAATGAACTCAAACAAACTAACAAATTGTATATGAATTGAACCAAAACTAATGTTTACTCCTGCTGATGACAGCAATCGTTTTACTCTAACAAAATGCGTTCTATATTTCCTATTAATTCACTACCCATCACTTCATATAATGACTAAACAGCCACAATTGCAATCTTTCTTTTATTTTGTTCGAAAAAGAAGGCCTAGCATTAAAAAAGGTTGAAATAGTTATGATAATTTGATTTTGAAAGTAGTATTAATAGTAATACTAGGGCAGTCCGATAAGTACTTAGCCTATAAAAAAACGTGCTCTTTTTGCATTGGCCAAAAACAAGAATTCAATATATTGCTTTGCGTACGACAGCACACTTGTCTTGTCATTCCATTTGGATTCCAGGACATCAGCTACGGAAGCACATCTTCACCAGCAGCAGGAGGTTGCATATCTTAATGAGAATCTAGAAGTGATTTCGAATTGGGGTGAAAGTAACCAGGTTCAATTCAATGCTACAAAAACCCAGGCATCTGTTTTCTCCAAGAAAATAAATACCTCCGAACCAGATATAATAATGTCAGGTCAGACAATTCTGCTTTCTGCTTCGGTAAGCTTGTTGGGTGTTAAAATGGACACCAATATGTCTTGGCACAATAATGTCGCTGTAATTGCAATGGCTGCTTGGAACACTGTTCCGAACAAGAAAATTGTACACACTTCAGCAAGTTTTAATGCTTTATGAAGCTCAGATCAGACCTTTTTGGAGTATTGTTCTCATGTATGGAGCTCTGCCCCCAAACATAACCTGAAGTTGCTGTCTTCCGTCCAGAAAAGAGCCGTCCGCTTGACTGGAGGCGGGAACATCACGTGCAACCTTGATAACCTGGAACATCGGAGAAAGGTTGGAGATTTGTCCCACTTCATAAGATACTTCCACGGGAAGCGGTACATATCGAAGTACCAAACGGACTGTGGGTGCTCATCGTTTTGAGGTTCAACTCAGTACACCCCGAACTTCACTGTTTGAGAACTCTTTCATCTGGAAAATTGCGTTTATGTGGAATGATCTTCCTGAGAAAGTTCTTCAAAATAGATCTAATCTCCAGCGATTCAAATCCCATGTGAATCTCTACTATCGCACAGGCACCGCTCTGAGAGCGCCTTAAGGATTTTCCTGTAGTGCTTGTGTTTTATCTTGAAAAAAAATTATGAAATCCACAAACACGCCCTCTTTCACACATAAAACTACGACCACGATTCGGCCGAAATTTTGACAGCAGCCGGCTACGAAAATGTATTTACACGATAGTGAATTTCTCTTGCGATAGTTGCGCCATCGAGCGGTGAGGAGAAGTATTTATCGCCCAAAAGCTTATGTGACTGAATTTTTTCACATTTTCTGCACACGTTCTTAGGCATATGCGGAAATGTCGGTATTTCTGAATTTCTATTTCTATTTCTATGAAATTAATGCATTAGTACTTTATTTTGAAGTAAAATTGACAGATGAAACTTCCATCTGGGAAAAAACATTAAATGGTAAGGGGATCTTGTGACACATCATTTTGAAGCTCGTGATGAATACTTCACAATCCTAGAATATGAAGTCAATAACTTCACCTACTACAAAATAGCGAAACATTTAATAATTTCTTGAAGACAAACACATTAATATCGATTATTTCTAGAAATATTCCTTTTTATCTGCCATATGGCAATTCCAACAACCCGATAAGGTTTGTTAATTTATTTTTTGCTTATAAAAACGACAAAGAGTATCAGTACAACAATGAACATCATTGTTCAGTTAGAATATTCTCATTTCATTCGGTTTTACTAGTAGAAGAATACCACGTCAACAATCTCTAAAACGGTCAATTCTCGTCCAGTGGAAGAAAAAATTGAAGCGATTATTATTTACGGTGCGACACGTAACTTTCTCGAGACCGAAAGGATTTTTAATGAACGTTTTTCGAATCGTCCTATCTGTAAAAAATATTTGAGGATACTTGTATCCAAATTCACATAACAAAAAGCTTCCAGGTCATCCGTCCATTCCGGAAGAACAGCAAATGCAAATAATTGGTGAGATGTTAGTGAATCCTGAACAGTCCACTTATTCCGTCGCGAATATTTGTGAGGAGTGTCTCCTTCTACTGTGTGGAGACTTTTGAAGAGGAATAGGTATCATTCATACAAAATTAACTGAAGATGATCCTGATCAAAGAACAGAATTCTGCGAAATCATGACGGAAACCATTGCAAGGCATTCTACCTCTCTCCACAATATTTGTTTTAGTGACGAATGTACATTATTTTTAAACGGCAATGTTCACAGACACCAAGCCTCACGTTTTTCGAGAAACACATACCCAATACCCAGAAAAAATTAACGTGTGAGCAGGAATATTGGGAAATCATATTGTAGGACCTCTATTTATTGATCAAAATTCAACAGGGGAACTGAATTTGAATATTCTGAAAACTACTGTTGACCCTCTCATCACTAAAATCGTCGAAGCAAATCTTAATAAATTCAATATGGACATTGTATTCCAACAAGATGGGGCACCACCACATCACTCCAGACAAGTAAGGAACTATTTGGATACTACTTTCACTGGTCGTTGAATTGGCCGTCGAGGTCCTACAGAATGGCAATCCCGCTCGCCAGCTTTGACACCTTTGGACTTTTTTGTATATTGGGCTATTTGAAGCAAAAGGTGTAAGAAACTGAACCTGCTTCAATATTGGATATACGGCAGAGAATAATAAATATTTGTAGAGATATTGACGTTACAGTGTTCGAAAATGTTTGGCGTGAAATATCGGATAGGCTGTTCATATGTCAAGAAGTTCAAGGCAACCGTTTAGAGCATCTTCTGAACTGACCTCAAGCTTATTACCTCATATTATGTAGTTAAATGTCAATGTATTCAGGCAATTATTAAAAGTTCCACCATTTTGTAGTATTTGAAGATATTGACATTATATTCTACGGCTGTGAAGCATTTGACAGGAGCTTCAAAAAGGTGTGTCACAAGACCCCCCTTTCCATTTAATGTGTTTCCCAGATGACGCTCAGTCGCCATCTTGAAAGTTTCATCTGTCAATTTCACATCAAAATAAAGTATTCTTGCATCAATTTCATTATCCCAAATTTCAATTTTTTGAGTTGGCCCATTCAAAAAATAAAAGTGGGGGACATTAAAGAAATGCACTCTATGTTAGCGTATAAGGAACGCTGGCATTAGTGTTACTTGCAATCTCGATTCAACCGGTATATCAAAAGTCATAACTTAATTCATCATCAGAAGTTGACTTGAATGAAATGTAACTTCCTGCATCAGTAATTTCTCATTTTTTTTCAAAGTTGCCATGAGATTAGTGTCAGTATTTCACAATGACCTAGAACTTTGCATTTATGTTTTACTTTCTCTGGTATTATTGATTGCCTATGCTCATGTATTTTATTTTGTTTCAGAATTCAACTAGTAATTTATTCCAATGTCCCACAGGTGAGTAGTTTTATAGTACTTGAGAGATTGAGTCTGAATAGAATATCTTACCTGCTTTAATATATCAATATCAATTAAGGATATTTTTTGCTTATTCAAATGATTACAACGGTTGAAAGTTATAACTATTTTTCTTGAAAAATGAAAATAATGTTTCATCAACCTTTGCTGAATGACCTTGAGAGTCTAGTTGTGAACGATGTCATGAAGAAGTTTTTAAGTGATAGAAAACAGTTTATTTGATGAAAAACAAAACCAGAAAAGAGAGAGAGGTGTAACTTATGCAGTACCCTATACAACTGATTGTTTTCATAACCTTCATTAATCACATGAATTAATTAGTGACGATGAGAACAGTTGTAGTCATATAATTTTGATAGCGCAGAACGAAGCTTATTTCATAAACCACTTAATTGCAAATACAAAATTCAAAAAGTACAATCACTTTTTGTAGAGAAATTTGTCTAGTTTTGAGAATTGTGAGGTTTCTTTAATCTATAACTTTCCTGCTGAATATCCAAACAACAATAAAGTTTAGTTTAGTTATATCCTCGGATCATTTTGATAATTTTTCAATATACAGGGTGTAACTAAATAAGTGCAAAACATTTGAGGAGGTGATTCCTCATCGAAAAAAAGATAGAATCTTTCATATAAAGAAATTTCATTGGAGCATCCCTTGTTAAGATACAGCCCCTTAAAGGGGGTACATAAAATTTGTATAACAATTTTTTTCACAAGCACTAAAAAAGTTACAATATTGAAATTAACCTGACGTTTTGTACTACCAAAAAGACACTTAGCCAGAAATTTATTTGGTTTACCTCATGGTTATAAGGGGTGGAAAAGCAACCCCTAAAATTTATTTCCAATGTAACATTTTGTCTTATTATCTGTTTACCATTTAAAAATTTATTTCCGATAGCATGTTTCATTCTGAACAAAAAATGACTCTTGGATTTTTTGCCCAAAATAAACTAGTTCGCAGCAAAAAGTTATTTCACGAACAACTACATAGATACATCGTCATAAATGCGAAAATACGAAACTAATCTATCTAGTAGGTCGCCATTAGCGATAGTGACAATTAAATTGGTATGACGCTGTCAGTTTGTGAATTTTCGAAATTGAATTAATACTAATTGTGTGTAGTTGTTCTGTTCTTAATTCGTTACTTTAATAATTCATTTGTTATTAAAATGACATACACAAATGAGGAAATGGCTGATATGCATTACGTTTACGGTCTGTCACAGGGGAATGGGTTAGAAGCTTCTAGAAGATATGCCGAAATGTATCCTCAACGACAGCATCCTTCACATAGAATATTTGCTCGACTTCATCAACGATTATGAGAATATGGTTCATTCGACAAAAGAACGCAGGATTGTGGTCGCCATCTAGAAGTACGAACACCACAGCTTGAGGAAGCAGTACTTAATTTGATTGAAGAACAACCTACCACCAGTACTAGAAAGATTGCTTTCCAGCTAAATGTTGATCATATGACGGTATTTTGAATTTCAAAGGAACAACTCTTATACCTTTACCATCTGCACGAAACTTTCCGAATCCTCTTGAATTTTACAATTGGATGCTGGAAATGATTAGAAGAAATTGTGACTTTCTGAAGACGATAGAATTCACAGACGAATGTAGTTTTTCTTGAGACAAGATTATTAATTTTCATAATTACCACATATGGGCTGATGAAAACCCTCACGCTATTGTCGAAACTAATCATCAAGAACGGTTTTCTCTTAACGTGTGGCTCGAAGTTATTAGGGATGATTTAATTGGGCCTCATTTTCTACCTCCTCGATTAAATGGTGAGGCATATATTCAATTTTAAAGAGAAGTACATCCAGTACTGCTGGAGGAAGTTCCTTTGGGCGTCAGAAGGGATATGTTTTTAATGCATGATGGGGCTCCCGCCCATTTTAGTCAAGTAGCACGTCAGCATTCAACTGAAACATATGCAAATCAGTGGATAGGTCGAGAAAATAAAATTTTAAATGGTAAACAAATAATAAGACAAAACGTTACATTGGAAATGAATTTTAGGGGTTGCGTTTTCCACCCCTTACAACCATAGGGTAAACCAAATAAATTTCTGGTTAAGTGTCTTTTTGGTAGTACAAAACTTCAGGTTAATTTCAATATTGTAACCTTTTTCAGTGCTTGTGAAAAAAATTGTTATTCAAATTCTATGTACCCCTTTTAAGGGGCTGTATCTTAACAAGGGTTGCTCCAATGAAGTTTCTTTATATGAAAGATCATATCTTTTTTTCAATGAGGAATCGCCTCCTTAAATGTTTTACACTCATTCAGTTACACCCTGTATACGCCTCAAATGATCATGTTGTAATGTGCAGTTGAAAACTATATCGACTGTGCTTAGTGTTTCTAACAAAACAAGAGATTTTCGACTCTTGACTTATCTCGTTTCGAACAAAACAGGATTTTTCTATTGAAAAATTGTGCCTCAACATTGATAATCAAAATTACAATTATAGAGCTTTAACATATTTTGGATAAACAACAGAAAAAGTGGCTTCATTTTTGAATAAACAAGATATTGAAACTGCATATAGAACAGGTAATACAGGTAATATTGAAGACAAAACATCCAAATTCAAGAAATCAGGAGTACATGAATTAAATTGCGAAATTTTTGCTAAGGTATATATTGGTCAAACCTGTAGAACATTCAGGAATTGCATCCAGGATCATCATATGGAATATGTGAATAATAAAATATGTTCAACGTTCAACTTCATCATATTCAACTTATATTTTAAAAGAAAAACATGTCTTTAACAGAGATTTCGAAATTTTACACATAGAAAATAAGGGTTAAAATTTAAATCATTTGGAAACATTGGAAATTATCAAACTTAAAAATTCAAACATTTTACTGAATGACCAACTATATTTAAATAAATCACCATTACTGAACTTGTTTTCTTAAAAACCGATGTTATCCTAGTCTTCATAGACATATTATTCTTGATGTAGAAGTAGAAATTAATCGCAACCATGAATATTTGACCAGAAATGGCCACAATATTCTTATGCCACAACATCGACTGGCACTTACTCATAAAAGCCTTTTTACTATGGCGATAAGGCTTTTCAACCATCTACCACCATATATGAGGAAATTACATATGAATAAATTGAAAAAAAGTATAAAAGGGCTGCTGGTTGGTCTCTGACGTAAGTGAATTTTTTAACTGCAAGTTTTAATGCTTTGCCTTTTTAATGTGTATATTTTGTTTTATATTTATCTACCTTGACGATGCTAAATCTGTTATACTGATAATAAGCAAATAAATTGATTGATTGATTGAATGTATGATCCAGAGACTAGGTAATTATAATTGAGAATGGACGAATTCTCCTATTTCAACTGGAAAATCCAATTCACAAGAAAATCTTGTATCCGCAAATTGTTTACTCCTCGATAGTTTTTTAATAATTATTTTTAACTAATGATACTGTAAGATATTGATTGATTGAATTTCCAAACGATATAATAGGCCACAATCCGTCAGTTTTATTCAGCCATTCAACTACTTGAAATTCCTCTGCATTTACATTCAACGGGTAAAAATGAATCACCCATACCATATCTAGAAGTCAGACTTACGAACCGTACTCAATAACGGTTGTATCAATGAGGAAGGTTGATGATGCGGAAATATGCATACTGTAAATATTAGAAATATTGTATTTTGCAGATGTGAAATTGAGTACAGATAATGTATACAATATCTATAATTCAATAACAGTGTGTCGTGTCGACTTCTATCTTTCAAAATAACAGCTGGGTTGAGTAGTTGGTAGGCCAATATAGAAAAAAATGGATAAAATTTGATTTGTTTATTTGCCTTCGTAGTTGCCTTCGAGAACAATACAACAATTATAGCGGTCGTACAATTTTCCGATACATTTGTTTTTTAATACGATTTGTCTTTAGCCTCAAAATAGGCCTCACATTCGACGATTACCTCTTCATCGAATAATAATAATAATGTTTTATTCGTACTATTGCATTACATATCTCAATTCTACCAATCAGAAAATGAATAAAACAGAAAAACCAGCGTGGCATGAATTCTTTGTCACGCGCGAATTCATCTTGTGAATATCTTTCCAGTGAGTATTCTCTTCGAGATCCGAGAACAGAAAAAAGTCGCTGAGGGCCAGATCTAGAGAATACGGTGGATGCGGAACCAATTCGAAGCCCAATTATTGCAATTTTGCCATCGTTTTCATTGATTTGTGAAACGGTGCATCACTTCTTTTTCTTTGATATATGTATGTATGAAATAGTCGCTGTTGCTGGTTTTTTCCATGGTTTGTCCCATCCTTTTCAAGATAATCCATGAATATGATACCATGCGCATCCCAAAATACTGATACCATAATCTTTTTAGCCGACTCTTGCGAGTCTGCACGCTTTAGAGTCAATTCACCACGTGCAGTCTACACAGATGACGATCGTTTTGATTCTGGTGTGAAACTATGTAGCCATGCTTCATCCATTATCACATATTGACGCATAAATTCGGGCTTTTATGGTGGAACAGTTTCAAAAACTGCTCAAAATCATCAATTTGTTGTTGTTTTTTATCGATTCTGAGCTCGACCAGCATCCACTTTGGGTGGTTTCGGTTCTGGTGCAGGTGATTTCAGTCGCAGATCCAGGACAGAGATATCAACCTCCCTAGGAACCTATGCGACTGTATTTCAAGCGGAAACTTACGCTATTGAAGTATGTGATGAGCTGTCGCGAATGGTAGGGAGTGTTGTCAAGAACTATTACACTATTTGCATCCAAATTTGGGATCAATGTGTTTTCAAACCATTCCTCGAAAATATTAGCTTCCATGTTCTTATGATAATCAACATTGCAGTCCTCAAGTTTTTATCCATAAAATTTTAAAGAATTCAGAACCCACCCTTCACTTTCTCCTCAATGTACAATGATTAGT